AAACAATTCTATCCATAGCCCAACAAAATCCCTTTTATGACTAAGGGTGTATCCTTCCAGTGACTGACCAAGCACAGGTGTTGCTCATGAGGACTTAGAAATGAAATGCTCTCCCCAGAGTGCACAACTTCTTACGAGAATATTCAGAGTACAGTGTGTTCCAGGCATGCAGCACCTGTTACTCACTTGTTTAAATGTCTCATGAAGGGGACAGAGAAAAAATAGTTTCTCTCTGTCTCTGGGAACATACATAAATTTAGCATACAGTTCTTTTTCGGCCAAGCACAAGTTTGAATTACCTTAAGAAAGGCCATAAGATAAAATTTCTTGAAGATGCTTTTCACATTACAGTTTATTCCATAAAATGAGAGAGGAGGTGGTGGCCAGGAGAAGGGAGGATAAAGATGGAGATTAAAGGACTGAAAAGCAAAATGGAGGGCAAGACAACACATCCAGAAATGAAGCTGGGCCAAAAAAGGGAACTCATCAATTCATCCCTAATAGTAATGCCTGCATTATGTCAAAGTATTTGATCTTCTAATTCTATTCAATTGTGGTCATGTGAGATCCAGGTAGCTGGTTTCTAAATATTGAAAAATCTCTTTCTATGTATGAAGATGTTACTGACCAACTTGACTTAGGAAATAGACTGAATTTGTATCTTTTTGCTATATTTTGAGGTGAACTCAATCTAAATAGGAGACCTGAATGTTTTCTTTTCCCATGAGACCAACCAGCCTTAATCTCATTAAAATCATACTGGTAGCTGGGCGTGGTGGCTCACACCTGTAATCCCAGTACTTTGGGAGGGTGAGACAGGTGGATCACTTGAGGCCAGGAGTTTGACACCAGCCTGGCCAGCATGATGAAACCCCACCTCTACTAAAAATACAAAAATTAGCAAGGTGTGGTGGTACATGCCTGTAATCTCAGCTACTCTAGAGGCTGAGGCATGAGAATCACTCAAACTAGGGAGGCAGAGGTTGCAGTGAGCTGACATAGTACCACTGCACTCCAGCCTGGGTGATAGAGCAAAACTTTGTCTGAAAATAAATAAATAAATAAAATTATACTGGAAAAATCCCTAAAATATATGGGTCCAACATTAATTTATTAAGTTTCTTGTTAAGTAGATGATACGGTTTGACTGTGTCCCCACCCAAATCTCACCGTGAACTGTAACAATCCTCATATGTCAAGAGTGGGGCCAGGTAGAGACAATTCAACCGTGGGTGCAGTTCCCTCCATACTGTTCTCATCGTAGTAAATAAGTCTCATGGTATCTGATGGGTTTATAAAGGAGAGTTCTTCCGCACAAATTTTCTTATGCCTGCCACTATGTAAAACATGACTTTGCTTTTCATTCACCTTCCACTATGATTGTGAGGCCTCCCCAACCATGTGGAACCGTGAGTCAATTAAACTCTTTCCTTTACAAATTACCCACTCTTGGGTGTGTCTTTATTAGCAGTGTGAGACAAGACTAAAACAGTATAGTCATTGATATTGCTGAAACCAAGGAACATTGGAAAGGGAAGCATGAATTAAGAGCACATTCTCACTTAAATCAATATAGCAATGATTGAAAGCAAATCATGATTTGTTACTGCAGAATGCACATAGTAAGTGCTTCCCCAAAGTACATGTGCGTAAGTTGCATACATACCCAGGCATATACTGACAGGCACACACATACACACACACACAAACACACACACACACACACACACATGCACTCTGTGGTGTTCAAAGCTGTGAATGCTGAACACCTGCATCGCTTCAGCATTTCATTACGATATTAAAGTAAAACATCTGTACACACTTTGGACTTCTGTCACTTATATGTACCACTGTTTATTAATAGCCACTTTGTGAGTCGTTTTTCAGCCTTCTGGGGCTGCTTTTAGAATTGCAGACATACTCAGAAGAAGGGAATTCAAGGTCAGCAGTCAGTGTTAAGCAAGTCCTATATTTATAAAAATTTTAGAAATGAATAACTTATCATTCTTCGTCTCCATCCTTGCTGGGCTCAGGACCAGCCACTATTTTCACCAAATCTTTTTTTAACACAGGGATGAACATCTAGCGGGCATCTGTGGTTCAAGCTCACTCAAGGTTTGTCACTCTGGTGATTGGCTAAGGAATAACAGTTTGGAATCAGCTCTGCCTTCTCTTCCTGCCAATCTGGCTCACCTCAGGACCAGGTGCAAATTTCAGGGGACCATCCAGCCTCTGAAAACCTTCACAGTCACTGAAGTTCTTTCCAGGAAGGATAAGAATGTGCAGTGATGGACAATATATATTTTTGTTATTGTATTTCTGCATATGTGTTTTGTTTACTCTACCCTCCCCCCTTTTTTTAAATTAGCTTTTCATCAAACTGGAGTGAGGGCAAGTGCTAGGTTTTGGACTCTGATCTGCCTTTGAAGTCTCTTCCAAATACAAACACTTCATTTTCCTTGTTTATTATGGAAAAATAAACAGTGAAGGTTTTGTATAATATTGAGTCTGTAGTCAATGTATAATATGGGTAAACAAAAAATTATACATAGAATTATGAACAAAGCCATAAATATCAACAATTAAAATAAAAGCTATAGAAAGCATCATAAAATGAATGTATTTGGTCACATGTGAAAGTCTTCCCAGGAAATGATTAAACCATATAATGGGAATTCCTTAAATTCATCAGGAAACCAGGTACTTCCCTGGAATCTCACTAAAAAGACATAAATTTAAAATGTAAATAATATCTGACAAAGAATAATGAAATAATGCATACTACCATATATCATACAGAGTGGACACTTCATAAATATTTTTTCTCACTCAAATAATTGTGCAATCTATTTTTTAACAGGAATCAGTAGAATTCATGAGGAATAGAGAAAGAAGAGTGGAATTATTAGAGCTGTCCAGTGGTAATTCCTGGCTTCCCAATTTAATCATTCTATTTATTTTGGCAGGCACCTACTTACATGAGGGATGTGGCATCAGGTTAGGTAATGGGACAACGTTAACCATAAAGAACACTTAACTTTACTATAAGAGCGTTTAGGCCTTTACTTGGCTTCTGAATTAATACATTGCAATTCTCTTTAAAGCATAAATTTCTGACAAGTGTTGTTATGATGTGAATCTATCCCTCACAGTCTGATCACCAGATCTGTGATTTTTAAATTGATGGAACCAAGACATTTCCACTCCTCTCCTCTCAAAATCCAACCCCTGGCCAGGTGCAGTGGCTCACACCTGTAATCCCAGTACGTTAGGGGGCCAAGGTGGGCAGATCACAAGGTCAGGAGATTGAGACCATCCTGGCTAACACGGTGAAACCTGGTCTTTACTAAAATTACAAATAATTAGCCAGGCTTGGTGCAGTCCCAGCTACTCGGGAGGCTGAGGCAGGAAAATCGCTTGAACCTGGGAGGCCAAGGATGTAGTGAGCTAAAATGGTGCCACTGCACTGCAACTAGGGCAACAGAGGAGACTCCGTCTCAAAAAAAAACCAATCAAATAAATAAATAAATTCAACCCATAGAATTCAGGAAAATAGAACAAAAACAAATAAACAAAAAATTGAATATATGTATTCATTAGGAATTAATAGATATCTATAGTTCCAAGTCAGAGTTTGAAGACTAAAGTCAATGTAGGAACAATAAATAACTTAGGAGAGTAGGGGAGAATAAGCCCTTGCAGGTGGATATGCTAAGATATTTGGCCCCTAAAGTTAGAAAAGGCTCAGAAATTGTAATTACACCGAATAATTGGAAGAAATCAGGGAGAGAATTTGAGAAACTGAGCCTCACTTTCCTGGTTCCTGCCCACTCTGAGCACCTTCAGATGGCTGCCCCACTTCTACACACCTGCTGTCATGAGGCCTCAAAGACAGCAAAGTACCATATTGAAAAAAAAAACAAAACAGAATTATTCTAACTGAACTGTGGACCCTGAGCTTTTCTTTTCCACCAAATTCTAGAATGCTGGTAGCCAAGCTTATAACCCCCAGGTAGGAGTAAGAGAGAATGTACTGCCTCCTAGAAAACTGCTGTGGGCATGCAGGCATTTGGAGATTTCACAACACAGAAGCTAACCAGCCAGTTGTGGCAACCTCAGGAGGTCTAGCAGTGCAAAACTGCAGCCTACACCCGTAGAACTTTATATTTACTTCGGAAGGACTTGATATCAATTAGAAAAGAACAAAAACATGGTAGACAATGTCTAAAATTAAAATGAGGAAAGAACCATAGTGAATTCAGGGGCAAAAAATCAAAACAACAACGACAACAAAAAGAACAACCAAAAAACACTGTAATTTATATCCCTGGAGGCAAGAGAGGTATTGAAACCACGGAAAAACATGAAAAAGCTTAAAAAGGAACACTCATGAAACAGGAAATAGATATTAGAGAATAAAAATTCAACAAAAGACTCGGAAGATCAAAAACATAAAGAAATAACCAATAGGAGAGGAAAGATTAAAGAAAATACTAAGCAAAAAGGCCCAACAGCTGACTAACAGGAGTTCCATAGAGAAAATCAGCTAATTCCTCACTCTGAAAGATGGAAGTCCCCAGATGGAAAAGACTCACTACCAAGTACCTAAAGTTATAAATGAAAAAAAAAAAAAGGAAAGAAAGAAAAAAGAAAAAGAAAAAACAGGAATAAAGAGGAAAGTTTCCAGGGAGAAAAAGGGGGTACATTAAAAGCTGAGGAATAAAAATTGCTTTTGCTTTTAAATGGCAACATAGAAAGCTAGAGGGCAGTAGTGAGACAGCGAGGCACAAAGTGGTCCCCGGAGACCCTCCTCCTAGCCAGTGCACTGGGAGAACCGGGTGGAGCCATGGGAAGTTCGCGCCCATTGCAGGGGAGAGGAGCCTGGCTTCCCTTGTTCCAGAGTGGTATCTGGGGATTCAATCTGTGAAGCAAGAAACCTACGAGCAGGACTGTCGCTTTGCTGAGGGTCTCTGTTTCCCTTTTTTTCCCTTTTACCCAGTGATCCCTGCTCTTCTCACCCTTCAGAGTATCTGCGAGCCTAATCTTTCACGGTCATGTGACAAGATCCTGGCTTTTAGCTGAACTAAGGAGAAAGTCCTACAACAGTAGCACAATACACTTCAAATTCTTCATGTAAATGACGTCCATTCTAGCAGTCCACCCCCAATGGCACTATCAGCCTTACATGAAAATGAAATAAGGATATTTTATGAAATGCTGTCACACAAAAAAGTTACCTGTGAACTCTGTTTCTCCAGGAACTAGTGGATGCTCTACCCATAATGGGACGAACCAAGACAGGCCAAGACTAACGATCAGAAAGCAGGTAATCCAAAAATCAAGAGAGACAAAAGAAATGACAAGGAGGTGACAGAGGGTCCAAGATTATAGTTGGGCAGAAGCTTCACACAGAGGAGAGCCATTGCAGATGGGACCAGCCACCCCACTCAAAGGATGCTTCCAGGGGGAAGAGAGATGAAGAAAAAATGGAGAGATTAGCAGGTAGATTTGACTTACAAGAATTTGAATGAGGCAGTATTTTATAGAGCTGTTAGAAGGTGCATGATGACTTAACCATAATTTCAAGGTAAACTAAGGAAACTGAAAGAAAAGCTTTCAGTTCTTAACCGAGGAAAATATACTATAATAATGTACTACAAATACGGTGTGCTACTTGAGTTCACTGTGAATAGCATTTACATTAGTTTTAATAGTGATAATACCAACTACAGATTTTTCACCACACAGTGATAGGATTGGATAATGTTTAAAACTAATAATCAAAATAAAGCAATACTATATCAGATTTAGAAATAAAGAGGTAAGTACAAGAAAAGCTAAGAAAGATGACATTTCTCAGCTCCAAAGAAGGATCACATTGGTGAGGAGGATAGTTGTGGGCTGAAAGGTAAGGGAGAAAGAGGACACTGTTATACGCCTTTTAGCAGTGGTTTACTTTTGAACAAATATGATTAAAAATTAAATTTCAAAAAAGGTTTATGATCTCATTTTTCAAAATCGAATACAAACTAATTTCCAAACATGCAGAGTCAAAAACCAGACTCTGAACCCCACCAAAACACAGCTGTTTCAGGAAGTACTGCTTGAAACAGCCCACTAACTTCCCCTTCATTTATTAGAATTGCTGTTGTTATGCATTCACTACGTCATTGAGGCCTAGGCAGGGAATGAACCAGATAATGTCCTTGCCCTCATGCAATTTGTATCTTGTCTACAACAGATTAGATGTAAAATATCAGCTCCAATTTAAGGAGGTAAAAGCAGAGAGACAGACAACATTGCTTGAAGGTGAGCCAGGAGATGATGGTATAGATGAGTTGGTTGCAAAATAGTTTTAAGACCCAAATAATTCCTTAAAGTTGAACACATTTCTGAAATGAGTAATATAGAAATATCCAAGTTTTTATATCAATTCCATGGTAACTGCACTAGGGAAGAAAATAACTCAGGCTACTGTTTCTAAAAATTGGTTATGGAATTCAAATGCTCTTCTGTCAAACATTATGGGACAACATGACCCTAACTCTAACTGAATTTTCTTTAGGGAGAAAAGAGACAACAGCCCAAAGTATTAATTTATCAATATATTAAGGCTGTTGTTTTTTAAAGCCTATGCCAAAATTATATTTAATATTATACCCTTCTTATATAAACAAGGTGAATTAAAATTCACTGTACACACCCACAAACAGCAAGAACTATTATCAGCGCTTGCTCTGCTCGCAGGCTCTCTGTCTGCTGAAAACATCTGAGCTTTACTCAACAATAGAATCTTACATTACCACTCGTTGGTGCACACTACACCAAAGGGACGATGTGGCAAGGTTGTTATTGAAAAATGTTCATTTCATTTATTCATTCATTTAACAGGTGAGTACCGCCAGGAGTGGTGGCTCACGCCTATAATCTTAGGATTTTGAGAGGCCGAGGAGGGAGGATCCCTTAAGCTCAGGAGTTCAAGACCAGCCCGAGGCAACCCTGTGAGACCTCATTACTATTTAAAAAAAAAATAAAAAATCAGTTGAGTGCTATTAGTAACTGTTCACAAGCTGGGAGATAGTGGGTAAGTAGGAAACGTCCTGTCTCAGCCAACTTACCTTGAAATAGGGGGAAGCAAATGATGTCACGGAGTAAATACTCCAAAAAACTTCAGCTAGAGATAACCCTATCCATAAAATACAACACAGAGAGTGAAGATGTTAACTTAAATGACGTGCATCAAGAAAAACCTCGGAGAAATAGGCCGCCCGGTAATGTCACTTGACCTGGCAACACCTCTGGTCCCATGACCCTGGCTGCAGAATGTCCTTTTGTTTTTTTCACCTCGTTAGTAATTTGACAACTCATCATTTTATCCCCATGGTCCAACATCGAAAGCATTTCTTGGCCTGTCTTTTGGGCTTTCGCCTCCAAGAACCTGCACTGCTGACTCTCAATTTTGCTTTCATTCAGACCTTATGTTTGCCACATTCTTCACCTACAGAGCAACCTCCTGATTTTTGACTCAGCTCACATGTGATTTGATTCTTGCAAAATCCTTTTCAGAACTTAACTGTCTGATGACCTAGAAATGTGTTTCTGTATGACTGCCAAAAATTGCATGATGAATGGCAGCCTAATAGTTCTGCTATGCAGAGTAGGTAAGTGTTTCTTCTACTGCCTCTCTTTGCTGGTACAGAAGACTTACAGACTCTCAACATGGTGTTTGGCTCTTTCCAGCATTCAGTATGACAAGACTTCAATTCTTACTGAACTTTAGTCCCCAAGGGACGTGAAAGCATTTGAAAATTTATTTAACTAGCCAAATAATCTTAATTTAGTTTTTGGGTTTTATTACATCGATGTTAGATTTAAAGTAAAGAAATCCTAAAAATGATTCTAGGTAGTGGTTAATTTTATGTTTTTATACAATTACTACCAACAAGTAGCTAGTTTTCTAAAATGTTAGATAACAATGAGACTGCAGTGTAAATACTTTTCTGCACAGAACATGCTAAACTCAAAGGTAAATGAGTTGAATGTTCAGAGCTTCATAAGCCTCCAACACAAACAAGCCACTGCAAAGGCCCAGGCAGAGGCTAAGTGTTGCTCCTGGGCATGTCATCTGCTAATGGGCTTCCTAAGCCTAAATTCTTCTCTGTGATTCCACAAAGAAAGTACTCATGATCTCATCTGGGTCTCCCTGTTGTGTCTTTGCCACAAAGTATGATCTTTTCCCATATGGGGTTTTTTTCAAAATGCAAGCTACTACACTTTCTTTTTACAAGTTGGATTCCAGGTCTCTAACGCTGTCTCCTGCTGTGCTGAACATATGTTCAGAGTCTTTCTACTTATTTTTCTTTCCCCACTTGCTTTCCCACTGGTTATTTCCCACACCAAATTGCTTGACAAAATGAAGTTAGCAGCATTAGCTTCGATGCTTTTGTGAGCCAGGTCTTTTACATCCTATAATATCCGGCAACATAGAGAATAGCATGCTATGCATCTTAGGCTTCAACAAATATTTGTTGAAAGAATAAATGGATGCCTCCTTTTTGTAACTCCTATAAGTGATGTTCAACAGATGTGATATTCTCTTTATTAAATAAATGTTTAGACCCATCACCTTATTACACACAGGGATTAACAGAAATGGGGCTTGGGAGTGACTTGATTAGTTAACCAGTTGTCCATAAGAATTGGAAAGGGAAAACAAAGTGAGCCTGGACACAAGGCATTTTCAATAAAGATGCCTTGAATGAAAATAAACTGGGCTGATTTTTTGTCACGCACACACAAAAAAATACCACAAAGTGCTTTAAGCAGAAGGACAGGAAGTACAAGAATGGCAAATGAAGGTATTGGTCTTTCAAAAATAAACTCAGGTCACCAAAAAGTTGTTCAGTAGTATCATGAATCAGTTAATCAGCTGCAGAGTCACAGTCCAGGGAGAACATAGATAGCATTGAAGGAGCTATTAATCAGAAAAAGATCATGTTTTTTTACAAAAACACCCTCCTTAAATAGAAAATAGTAATTATAAACATAATATTCTAATATATCAAAGATGAAGAGCAGTTAATATCCTCCATAATATATTAGAGGATGGGAAGGTTCTAATCACCTTTTGAACCAAACCCATATCTCTCTCTCAAAAGCAAGACATGGAGAATCTTCCCTCTATTCAAGCTTTCCTTTACAATTCATGAACATAAAATGTGAGAATCAGGTTCAATGCAAATTTATCAGGTGAACGAAATCAATTCTTTTCCTAATCTGTGCATAAAATACCTAATTAGAAAAAATTGTACACAATTCTTAAAATAATTATTATTAGAATGAATTTACACACTGAATATCCAGATCTGACCGTGGGATGTCAATCAGGAAGTCCAAAGGTGAGCCTCAGTCCCCTTTCTTCACTGCCTGGCAATGGACAAGCTACCTTGGAGTCCAACATTTATTCCAGCTGTATTTCAAAACCAAATTCGCAAAGGATGGGTGGCTCCTTCCACCCAGGAGAAGATGTTGCAACCTCCAACGGGCTCCCGAGGTTTCCAGGAGCTGAGCTGTGACAGCTGGCACCTAACTTATTAGTGTCTGAGTCCAAAACATTGAATCCTCCATCTGAAGGGAAATTTGCATATCATACATTTACTCAAACATCATGGCCTATTCCAGCCATGAGCTCTGATCAGTTTCCTGTAAAGGCAACACGACAATACCTCCCTTCAGGCATTGGATAAGAACTCCTCAATCTGGTTCTAGGATGCCTCTCACACAAAGAGAAGACTGATATAAATTGCATAGTAAATTAATGCCCCCTGGGACAATTCTTGGCCATTGAGAGACAGAGGCCAATGGGTAAATATTTCTCCCGTTTTTTTTCGTTGAGCTGATGATCCCAATACATGTGTCATACCACTCAGGATGTTCCTCAGTGTTGAGCAATTTGTCAGCCAACTTGTCAGTGACTAAGTGGATAGCTTATACTGGGTCATTTTCTCTCTTTCCATGTATTTCTCTGCCTCTCTCTAGTTCCTGCCCCCATGAATCACACTCCAAATACACTGCTCAAACATCTTTGTTCAAGGCTCTGCTTTCAGGAAAATTAAGGCTAACACAGCCACTGTTGGGCCATTCTCGGCTTACAATATAAGAAGTAGAATTACCAGGGCACAAGTTACACTGCTCATTGCTGGCATGCTTCTCTATGGAATGCTTAGAGAAAGGGAGATATACATTGCTTCTTGTCAACGTTTGGCTTGTAAGTTTCCCAAATAAAACCCATGCTCTGTGTCGGTGTATAATTTGCCAGGGCAAATTTCCTCACAACACTGTCACAATGACAGTTACAGAAAAATTCCAATATACCATTTTTATTTTTCCAAGACTGATAACTATAGTTGTAGAAGTCTTCAAAAAGGTGTTCCAATGAATGTAAATGGATATGTATATGATGTATGGATCTGCAGACTCTTCTCAGGATTAGTTGGTTTAAAAATGACTTTTAATTTAAACAATTACTAAGTTAAACTGATAAAGTAGTCTGAGATGGCAGGTTCATTATTAAACCCTGAAATGTCTGTAAACCACACATTATCGCTAGTATCTTTATTACACTTCACATATATCATAAACGTACCAAATGTGACCATATATAAACTGCATAACACAATGTGAGACCCATGATAAGCCTTCGTTACATTTTGGTTTCCTTCTCCTACTGCCACAGCAATTTATGTTTCCTTTTTCCAGCTCTATGAAAATGAACTGAAAAATAGAACTTCCTAAATATGACAAATGTTCAGAAGTTTGCGTTACATTTTTGGCAATGCTGTTAATGTCAGTGAACTTCTCCAGAAACCTGAATTGATGTCATTTTAATATTTGAAATTGTTCATTTGGCAAACATAAACAGTACCAATAGGTTTGATTCTACAGGCTTTTGTCTGGATAATGGATATAGACTTAGGTAACTGAATATTCTTGTTCTTCTGCTTTAGGATCTTAAAATTCAGATGGCATGTCAGAAAAAAAATGAAGGTTTTAAGGTTCCTGACATAGTATCTTCAGGAGTAGGAATGCCCTGGGCTCCAGATTCCTTAGAAATTGCTTGTAACTTTCTCCTTTTCTCCAACTAGTCACTCAACACCTGGGAACTGCCTTTCTCTGCCAAAATCTCCCAGGAGCCAGAGTTGGAACCTTGCTCTGAAGCTCTATACTTTGATGGTGCTTGAATTTATCTTCCTTTCTGCCTTTCCTTTCCTAGAACGTAGAATTCGTTTGCACACCTTTAACTCACCTATTCACACTGTCATGTCTTTGACGACATGTGTGGCATCTCCATTTTTGTTTATAGTAAGGTTCATTCTCTCCTATGGTCTCTGGGATATAAAGAACCATGAAAAAAGCCTTATTATTTCTTCTTAGGTGATAATTTCAAGCCTATGATGTTGTCTACTAGTTGGCATCTAGCATTCCTCTATAACTGACTTTTCTGTTTCAGGAAATGTTTCAGGATTGAGTGAGTTTCTGGAGGGGATTCACTGATCTTCCACTCTTATCCATAATACGAGCATATATAATCCCCTTCAATTTCTAAATCATTCTTTTATAATGACACCATTGCAAGCTCCCTGTCAGAAAAAAATAGGGTTAGCAGTTAGAATGATGTCACTTAGAATATACTTGTTTCTGAAGCCTGAATATTCACAGTGAGGGGGGTTTCTGTTTCATAATAATTAACATACAGCAGTACATGGCCAGAATGAGATCTCAGCATTGAACATACTTCCAAAAGCCATATTCTTTTGGAAGTCTTTGTAACACAACAGAATATTACTCTCACTAAATCAGTCTGTTCTTTTCAGCGTAAATAAATATTAGCTGCTTGTTATATTTATTTTTCTGATGATATGTTTCATTTTCTGAATTTCCCCATGAATAATGTTGTTTAAGAGAAGGATACAACTGACAAATTTAAACATTTATAGCTTTCTTTGTAGACCACAGCCTATTAAGTGAATTACTGATTTGATAATTTTTGTTTGGTCATAATGACATGACTTATAATGTTAATTCAAAATGGAACAGTTTCCAAAATTAAAGTTTTAAAAGATCACATAAATTCTCAAAGTTGAATATAATCATCCACTTGATTAATTTTAGGAATACTAAAGCTATTAATCAGTAGTTTATATAAAAAAGACATTGTGAGTTTAATTAGGTCTCATTTGTCTATTTTGACCTTTGTTGCCATTGCTTTTGGTGGTTTAGTCATGAAGTCCTTGCCTATGCCTATGTCCTGAATGGTTTTGCCTAGGTTTTCTTCTAGGGTTTTCATGGTGTTAGGTCTTATATTATGTGTAAGTCTTTAAGCCATCTGGAGTTAATTTTAGTGTAAGGTGTCAGGAAAGGGTCCAGTTTCTGCTTTCTGCACATGGCTAGCCAGTTTTCCCAACACCATTTATTAAACAGGGAATCCTTTCCCCATTGCTTGTTTTTGTCATGTTTGTCAAAGGTCAGATGGTTGTAAATGTGTGGCATTGCCTCTGAGGCCTCTGTTCTGTTCCATTGGTCTATATCTCTGTTTTGGTACCAGTACCATACTGTTTTGATTACTGTAGCCTTGTGTTATAGTTTGAAGTCAGGTAACGTGATACCTCCAGCTTTGTTCTTTTTGCTTAAAATTGACTTTGCTGTGCCAGCTCTCTTTTGGTTTCATATGAAATTTAAGGTGTTTTTTTCCAGTTCTGTGAAGAATGTCATAGGTGGCTTGATGGAGATGGCTTTGAATCTATAAATTACTTTGGACAGTATGGCCATTTTCACAATATTGATTCTTCCTAACTGTGATCATGGAATGTTTTTCCATCTGTTTGTGTCCTCTCTTATTTCCTTGAGCAGTGGTTTGTAGTTCTCCTTAAAGAGGTCCTTTACATCCTTTCTTAGTTGTATTCCTAGGTATTTTATTCTCTTTGTAGCAATTGTGAATGGCAGTTCATTCTTGATTTGGCTCTCTTTAAGTCTGCTATTTGTCTATAGGAATGCTTGTGATTTCCTCACATTGATTTTGTATCCTGAGACTTTGCTGAAGTTGCTTATCAATTTCAGGAGGTTTTGGGCTGAGATGATGGGGTCTTCTAAAAATACAATCATGTTGTCTGCAAATAGAGACAATTTGACTTCCTCCTTTCCTAATTGAATACCCTTTATTTCTTGCATGACTGCTCTGGCTAGAACTTCCAGTACTGTATTGAATAGGAGTGGCAAGAGAGGGCATCCTTGTCTAGTGCCAGATTTCAAAGAGAATGCTTCCAGTTTTTGCCATTCAGTATGATATTGACTGTGGGTTTTTCATAAATAGCTTTTATTATTTTGAGATACGTTCCATGGAGAAGTAGTTTATTGAGAGTTTTTAGCATAAAGGGCTGTTGAATTTTGTCAAAGGCCTTCTCTGCATCTATTGAGATAATCATGTGGTTTTTGTCTTTGGTTCTGCTTCTGTGGTGGATTACGTTTATAGACTTGTGTATGTTGAACCAGCCTTGCGTCCTCGGGGTGAAGCCTACTTAATCATGATGGATAAGCTTTTTGATGTGCTGTTGCAATCAGTCTGCCAGGATTTTACTAAAGATTTTTGCATCTATGTTCATCATGGATATTGGCCTGAAGTTTTCTTCTCTTGTTGAGTCTCTGGCAGGTTTTGGTATCAGAATGATGTTGGTCTTATAAAATGATGTCGGAAGGATTTCCTCTTTTTGTATTGTTTGGAATCGTTTCAGAAGGAGTGGTACCAGCTCCTCTTTGTATGTCTGGTAGAATTCAGATGGCAACCCATCTGGACCTGGGCTTTTTTTGATTGATAGGCTATTAATTGTTGCCTCAACTTCAGCCCTTGTTATTGATCTACTCAGAGTTTCGACTTTTTCCCGGTTTAAGTTTGGGAGGGTGCAAGTGTCCAGGAATTTATCCATTTCTTCCAGGTTTACTGTTTTATGTGCATAGAGTTGTTTGTAGTAATCTCTGATGGTAGTTTGTATTTCTGTGGAATTGGTGGTGACATCCCCTTTACTATTTTTTATTGCATCTATTTGATTGTTCTGTCTTTTCTTTTTTATTAATCTGGCTAGCAGTCTATTTTGTTGATCTCTTCAAAAAACCAGCTCCTGGATTTATTGATTTTTATGAAGAGTTTTTTCTTTTTCTATCTCCTTCAGTTCTGCTCTGATCTTAGTTATTTCTTGTGTTCTGCTAGTTTTTGAGTTGTTTTTTTTTTTTGTTGGAGTCGTCTTGCTCCTCTAGCTCTTTCAATTTGGATGATAGGGTGTCGATTTTAGATCTTTCCTTGCTTCTCATGTGGGCATTTATTGCTATAAATTTTCCTTTAGACACTGCTTTAAATGTGTCCCAGAGATT